CAGCCCTGAGCTGCTTCCATGTAGGACTGTTGGCGCAAGCTACATTAAAGTGATTATTACGTTTTGAATATGGATATTTTTCTTACAAAAGCGCATCGATTCGCTACAGGAGGCATTTGTTCACCCCCCGGAGCCGTGTGAGACACTTTTTTTTAAATGGATGGGCGCTTTTTATTTAACTTCTTTTGGACTGATGCACCCGCTGAGTGGCATTAAACAGCTTGAAAGATCAAAGACAATTTTTAATATAACGCCGACTGGATTCGTCTGAAAGAAGAAAGTCATATATCAATTTTCATTTTTGGGTGAACTAACCCTTTAACACCAATTATTAGATTGTATTTATGCCACAAGAAAAAGTTTGTAAACACACTTTTTCGCAATAAGGTTTAGAATTTGTTTTGAAACATATCATTTGGCAAAGGAATTGAATTTATTTTTCCAAATATTTATTCTTTAAATGTATTAAAAGAACTGTTTAAGTTCCATTAGGTAACCAGAATATTTAAGAGGAATCAGAATCATTCAATCAAGTCACGATGAAAGTATTGAAAGATCATTTCTTTCCTTATTGTGACACACATCCAAGTTAAAAGGATTAGTGAAAAGAAAAAAAAAAGTAGGACGGTGATCTATCCATCAGTTGGAGGCAGATTTGAAGGCGAGCTTGCAGTCAACTGAAAGAAAGGGGCCAGGTTTAGGCGACAAAATTAATAAAAATTAGAAAGGTCGAAAGAAAATGTTCCAAAAAAAAAAAAAAAATGAAACCTATAATTTTTTTAGCTAAAAAAAAATACAAAATTCAAAAAGACAATTTATGCTAATATTAGGTATTTGCTCTGGGTTTTATCAGAACTACACTCTCTGTACTTACTTACTCTGTCACTCTCAGTGAAAAACATGGAAACTCATGATTTGAAGTGCACAATGATCAGGAAAGGAAATGTTTCATGTCTTCAATCAAGCTTATTTTGATTATTTTTCTCTCTTACACAAATGGCTCCCTGCTGGCTCAGGATGGCAATGACAGAGCCATTACCTGCTCAGCCATTGAGAACAAGACAAAGCGCAATCTTTTTACAAACTCCAGGGTTTAAAAAGGGAATTTATGCAGTACTGTCGTGTATTAAGAACCATTATGAAACTCTCAAGCAGCTTTATGTACCTCTTACATGCAGCTTTAGCTGTGGAGCACAGCCAAAAACTAGAATGAGTAGAGGGATAAAAACAGCCAGCGCAGCACATAAACACACACACACACACACACACACACA